CTGCACTCCAGTCTGGGTAACAGGGTGAGACTCCAACTCAAAAAAAAAAAATATCTGATAATGTAGACTAAGATGAATATTATAGCAGTGACTATTGGTAGTATTATTAAAAGAGGAAAGAGAGGATATAGAGGAGAGGGAAGAGGCATTTGAGCAGTAAAATAAAATGAAAGGGGTGGAATTGCAAGGGGGGTTGTGAGGGGTGAACTGTATGGAAGCTTGAAATTTTGTGAGGACATTAAAGCCTAGTATAGGTGTGGGGCACCGCAGAATAACTAAAAAGGAGAGTGAGTAAAGGGTGTGTTGAACAGAAAGCAGAGTAGTGACTTGGTCATTTTAGAAGTGAAAGATATTTTATCTACTTTGACAATAGAGGTAGAGGAGTTAAGGAGGGGTCCTGCATATCCTGGCAAGACTGAGTATGAAGCCCCCATGTTCAATAAGAAAGAAACAGGCTTACCAGATACTGACAGCCTTACCCTAGGTTCTGCCATGGTTCTGATGGCAAGGGTGGTGGGGGCAGAAGACCCTGGGCCCCTTCAGTCTTCAGTGGCCAAGTCAAGGAATTCAGCCAGTACTGGCTGTGGACGAGGAAATGGGAGTGTTAGAAGTGGCCAAACAGGAGGGAGAGTCTCGCTGGTCACAATTTGAGTTCAGTGCCCTTTCTTTCCACAAATGGGACAGGATTTGGAGGGTGGCTTTGGGCATGCTTTTGCCCAGTTTCTTGGCTGGTCATATTTGTAGCATTGTCTCGGTGGTGAATGGGGGTTTGTTGGAGGTTTGAAGGTGTTTTTGGAGCGTTGGAACGCTGTCGAAGGGCTGCTGCCAGTAGTTGGTATTCGTTTTGATTTCCTTTTAGTTTTTGAGCCTTTTGTTCCTCATATCTGTTGTTAAAAAACTCAAAGGCAGTTTTAATAAGATTTTGACATGAAGTCTGGAGACCATCCCCTGATCTTTGAAGTTTTGTTTTTTTGTTTTTAACAACATATATCTGGGACTGACTGAGAGGTAAAATGAAGGTTCAAGCAAATTTTATCTTTATCAGAACTTGGGGTAAAAGTAGTATATTTAAGCAAGGCCTCTGAGAGGTGGGAGAAAAAAAGGGCAGGGTTTTTGTTAGGACCTTGAGTAATTTCTTTGATTTTTTAAAAATTAGTTTTAGAGCTGCCTTGTTCATTCTAGCTAATAGGTAAGTTATTATGTGAACCCTTTCTTGTCTGGAGAGTTAATGATAATCCCAGGAGGGCTTTGTGCAGGGGCACTGCTGTGGCGCCTAGAGGATTATGGGCTGGGTCCTGCTGATGGGGGGCATTGGCATGGGATTGAGCTGCAGCCTAGATGCCTTCCTTCTTTGGGGAAAAGGTGGAGGAAAGAATAACATGCAGGCTATGTTAGGTAAGGTTATAGGACTGGGTGATGTAGAGGAATTCTTTACGATAAGTAGCAGGGTTAGAGGTAAAGGAGCCTAGGTGTTTTTTAATTTGAGAGAGTTTGCCTAGGGAGAAGGGAAAATGAACCCATACTATATACTTATCATCCTAGCCACTTCTCTGAGAGGAAGAATGGGAGCAGAACTTTGGAGATGGCAGGGGACAGAGGACGTTGGGTATGATAGAGAGTGTGAAGGGGAGAGAGAAAGGAAGGAGTTTTTGAGTAAAGAGGATTTGAAAAGTTTATAGGCTTGACAGAGGGAGGACTTGGATTGGAAATAGAGGAAAGCTCGAGCATAGGGGACCTCTTACCATTTTCCATTGCGTTGGAATAAATTGTTGAGATTATGGAGAATTTGGAAGTCAAATTGTTAAGGAGATAGAAAATTTGGAAGTTAAAGGTTCTGCTTTGGGGTTATTAATTGTTATTGTCTAATTGATATTGGGGTCAAGTGGTATTACAGAAGAAAATGAGACACTTTGGCCTTAGAGTGAGACCTAAATATTTGAGACATTTGAGACACGTTTTGGTCTTGAGTAAGACCTACATTTTTGAAGTCTTGGGGAGGTTTTTGAATGTCTTGGGGAGGTTTAGAGGAAGCTTGGCCTATATTGGAGACATTCGGAGGTGTGAATAATTTGACCCCAGGACTTCCTGGAGCCCCGAACGTGAGAAATAATGGAAGGATGGGGCATCCCCACGGATTTCCACTGTTTCCAAGAGACAGTGTGGAAGCCGCTTTAAGGGTGTTCCCCCAAACCATGGTGCACCAGCCGGTGGTGACCGAGGAGACCTCTCACCTGGCGCCAGGGTTTTCGAAAAGGTCTCTGTCCTGGACAGAGATGAGCAAAAGAGAGGAATCCAACAGATTGAAAAAACTCACTCACTGATTAGTGACTGGTGTTGGATCAAATGTCTGGCAATGGAGAAGGTCCTGCTGGAACAAGTTGAGAAGAGGGGAAAGAGGAAAGAGGTGAGAAAAGACAGAGGATGGGGGAGAACGGATGGAGGAGAATGGGGCTATGCACAGGGACAACTTAGGAATTGGCTCACCATGGGACCTTAAACCCTGTTCCCATGTTTTGGCACCATATGTTAGGTCAAGAAAACGAGCAGACAGGAAAACAGAGATGGGAGACAAATCGTTCAACAGCAACACAGGCTTATTCCAGGGAGGAAAACCTGTGGTGAAGGACTTCAGATAAGATTGAAGCCCCCGGCTCCCGCGCTTACAGACTAAGGGCAATTCATAAGGATTCGGGGTTTGGGGAAAGGGTGCCGATGAGTTGGTTGCTAAGGGGGGCATTGCTAAGAAGAAGTCTTGTGACTAGCTAGCTGCTGCTTAACAAGATGCACTCTGCAGTCGGTGCTCAGCTGGTAAAGTTCCATCCTGGTTTGTGTTAGTAAAATGGCGGGGATTATCTACGATGGTGTTCATAAGGCTAACAGTAGTCACAAAAATAATAAATTGCTTGCAATAACATAAACTTAGCAAACATTGTGGGTCCAAGAAACCACACTAAAGCACACACAGTGCATGATGCCATCTATTGGGGTGACCCATGCTTCCTGGTTTATACCCACAGTTTTAGCACTGAAATTCCCACATCCCAGGAAATACCTTAATTCTGGGCAAACTGGGATGGCTGGTCACGCTACATTCATATTTAGAAAAAAACAGGCAGAACTAATAATCTAAACTGTTAGAAATCAGGAGAGTGGCTGCCTGGGTTTGGGGTGCTGATTGAATAGGGGGTCCAGAGCTCTTAGGGGGAGGGCGTGCTGGGAATGTTCTGTTTCAGGATTTGGGTGTGAATGACACACGTATGTTGTTTGTGGTAACCCATCAAGTGGTACACTTAGAGCTGGGCACTTTTTATATGTTTTACTTCCAAGAGGAGGCATGTTAACAATATTGAGAGGCAAGATGGCACAGTGGTTAAGCATACAGGCCTGCAAGCAGATTGCCTAGGTTTAAACCCCAGTTCTGACACTAGTTACCAAATAACTGAACTCGCCTCGGTTTCCTCACCTGGACCAGGGCAGGGGTCACCATGGGCCCAGATTTCCTTACTGCAGGGCTAGAGGGTGTGTACAAAGGCAGAAGCCACTACAGAGAAGGGGATGTTAGTAGTGCTGGAGAGTAATCAGTCTCCCTCCACCCCAAATCATAGGGTCCTGGCATCTTCCCAGCTTCCCTCCTTCCCTGAAGGTTCAGAAGCTTCCGCCTCAGTCCAAAGACTTGTTCTCACAGCAACAAATATCTCTAACTGATGAGAGCCACTCCCCTTTGCTGTTGAATAACCACAGAACAACCCTGGGTAGTTTGACAATGTCCTCTAGCCTCGGTTTACTCCTCAGTACTATGGGGAGGTTAGAAACAATAATGGTGAGTAACTGAGGCAGGGTAGCTAGTACAGTTTGGGCATAGAGAGATACATTTCTTAGAGGCAAGTTTTAGGAAGTATCCAGACATCTTGTCCACAGGCTGAACCTATATGAATTCAATGTGACCTCCTAGTCCATTCCACCCCCTCAGCTCGCCAAATGAAAACTACATCAAGATGGTTTGGGAATCAATAAAAGACTTAGAAATGTATTGTACTGAGAACAGCCGAAATCCCCATTTTCCATTTGCCCCTGCTGGCTGCCGGGAGATAACTGATGGCCGACCGTGAGGTAGGCAACCTCCTTCAGCTGCCTAAAGGTGGGAACCAGAAACTCAAGCCCAGAAGCCTCTGCCCCATCCCTGCAGTTACCATCTCTGTTGTCCATAGCAGGGAAACCAAGATTCAAGCTCTGAAGCCTCGGCCCTGCCCAGTGCGTGTTTACCCAATCCTGTACGCATAGCAGGGAAGCCAAAACTCAAGCTGAGGACTGCCCTGTAGATGTGGTTACTCAACAAAAAGCATGCAAGGACAGCTTTTAGCTCATGAATTTGTATATTGAAAAGCCTGGCAAGTCTCTCTGGAAAAGACCAACCCTCCATCCATCCGAACCAAAGAGATGGGAGCAGATAACAACCCTCTCCTGCCTACTCATTAGCATGCTACTTATTAAATGGGTGTAACAGGCATTTTGCAAAAAGCAGAAAATGAGGTCTTCTCATCCCCACGCCAGCTCTCACATGCCTATCTATCTTTCTCCTCTTCTTTCTCTTATAAACTTTGTTTTAAAACTTTGCTAACCACTTTAAAATTCATTTTAGGGCTGAGTCAAAGAATCCATGAGTTTTATACCGCACTTCACCCAGCATAACTATCACAGCTAATGCACTAAGCACTAATCCTGGGCCAGGCCCTGTGCTAAGAACATTATCTACTCAAGCCTTACAATACTCTGAAGTGGGCACTATGCCTCTCCTCATTTTACAAATCCAGAGATGAGTCACAGAGAGATTAAAGAGCCTACCCATGGCCACACAATGAGTCAAGGGAAGTGTCTCTTCCAGAGCCTGTGCCCCTACACCACATCCCACCCCCAGCATGGGCCCCAGGTTTCCCATGCCCAACCTTCTTGTGGCCTGGAATCTCCTGGTCCCAGAACCCTGACCCCAGCCCTGGACTTACTTTGGCCACTCTCTGCACTTTCCTGAGTTGATTCAAGATGTCACAGATGGTGCTCACAGTCTGGTCAATCTGTTTCTGGCAATCTTCATGGGGCTTCAGGTAGTCCTGGATATAGTTACCCAGCTCCTGAGCTGACACCGAGTACGGTTGAGACTTCCAGATTTTCATTGCTCCCTACTGGCAGCTGGGGAGAGGGCTGATGGCTGAGCGTGAGGCAGAGGACCTCCTTCTGATGCCCAAAGGCGGGAAATGGAAACTCAAGTCCGGAAGTCTCTGCCCTGTCCCCACAGAGGACGAGATTCAAGGTCAGAAGCCTCGGCCCCGCCCATGCGTGATTACCCAATCCTGCACCCAGAGCAGGGAAAACGAAACTCAAGCTGAGGACTGCCCTGCAGATGTGGGTTGTCAACCTCCCGCTCTGGATGAGCAGGAAACCACAATTCATGCTCAGAAGGCTCTGCCCCACCCCTGCAGCCATGGTTACCACCTTTCAGTGGTTTCCAGAAACACCTCCAGGTCAAATATGCAGCCTTAGAATCCCATTGGAGGGCTTCATACATGCTAGATGTCTGCCCTTGATCATATCACCTGTCCTCCTGGTGCCCCAGTTTCCTCATCTGTAGTAGACTGGGGATAATGTGGTAGCTTTCTCCTAGGGTTAATATGAGGGTTAAGTGATACCTGCAAAGTGCTTAGAACATGCTGCACATGACAGATGCTACATAAGCGCTAAATAAATAAAATTTTACAGAACTAGAGGGACGGAGGTCATCTTTTGAGGCACTGCCCCCTTTCTTCCTGTTCTCAGTGGCCAAGGAACTCAGACTCAAGGGAGAGCAGCAAAGAAGAGAAAGAGGCCCAGAGAGGGAAGTGATTTGCCTGGGAACTACAGCAAGGCAGGTGCCTCTGGGTAAACACAGGCCTGGGTAAAGGGCAGGAACCTCTATGTGTTTTGTTTCTCAGCACACATATAGCTAGCTACAGGGCCTCATGAGGCATTCAGCTGGCCCAGCCAGGGCAGGAAACAGACCAGAAGAGAGACAGACAGGCAACTCCTACACCCAGAGCGGAACTCACAGAGGGCTCCCAGCCGGCTGCCTCAGCCTGGCAATCATCATTCATACAGAAGGCAAAAATCCCTAAGATATGCGAGGAAACGGAGCCCCGCCCTGCTGGGATGGTCAATTCTATATGTCTACTTGGCTGAGTTGCGGTGCCCAGATATTTGGTCAAACACTTTGTGTGTGATCTTTCTGTGAAATTGTTTTGAGGTGAGATGGATGTTTAAATCGGTAGATTTTGAGTAAAGCCGAGTACCATTCATTATGTGGTGGGCTCCAGTCAGTTGAAGGCCTAAGTAGAAAAAAGACTGACTGACCTTCCCTGAGGAAGAGGGACTCAGCTAGCAGACTGTCTCTGGCCTCAAGTTGCGGCAGCAACACTTCCCTGAGTCTCCAATAGTCTCCTGATTGTCTATGAAGTGAACTAAAAAATTAATTAATTAATTAAATTACAGAAGCTTGAAGGCTTTACAGGAATAAATATTTCTCAGCTGCTGGAAGTGGCCCAGAAGGTTTTTATCAATTGAAATGCTGAGAAACAGAGACAGGCAGTACAGGCAGCCAAAAAGCTGTCAGGAAACAAGCTAAAATCCTGGTAATGCCCCTCCAAGCCCTGGGTACTGACTTTAGGGGGCAATGAGAGCAATTACTAGTTGCAAATTCACTTCTAACCAAACTATAAACTTAGGACAAAGACGGGTTACCCACTTGTTCCTCATAACTCCGAACTGCTCATTCCCTCCAATGGGCCGAGGCATGCTCCAGAAGTTAAAAGCCACTATTGTGCGTTCACCTGACAAAACTGAAATGTTTATTCCTACTGCATATCAAATGCTCTTAATTGTTCCACTTTCTGAAGAATATCTTTTAACCTCTTCAAAGTCTACTACTAAAAATGTTCTGTCAAGTTTACTTCTAGAGTTGCTACAGGAGTTTCCTTCTGTCTGGGTAGAAATCATCCCGCCAGTATTGGTGAAACATCACCCTCCAGTGGTGGTAAGTTTACTGGCATCAGCTACTCCTGTCTGTGTCCGCCAATACCCTATGAGTTTGCAGGCCTGGAAAGGAATTGCTCCTCACATAAAAAGACTCTTAGCTGCCAACATTCTAACTCCATGCAAGTCAGCATGGAGCACACCTTTCCTGCCAGTTCAGAAACCAGGAACTTCTGACTACCATCCAGTTCAAGACTTATAAGAAGCCAACAAGCGGGTAAAAACTATTTATCCAACTATTCCTAATCTGTACACTTTACTTAGTCTACTTCCCCCTCAACATCAGGTATATGCTGTGCTAGACTTAAAGGATGCTTTTTTCTCTATTTCCCTGTCTCCTGTCAGCTAACTTATCTTTGCTCAAGTGAACAAATCCAGACACAGGAGACACCAGTCAGTTAACTTGGACACAACTACCACAAGGCTTCAAGAACTCCCCAACCCTCTTGGGGGAGGCCTTGCAACAGGATTTGCCAGGGTTCTGTAACAGGATTTGTCAGGGTTCTGTGCACAACACCCTGAGTGTACTTTGCTTCAATAGCAAGGATGACCTCCTACTCGCAGCTGCAGACTTGGACCTGTTTACTAGGTACTAAAGCTTTGTTATAACTTCTCCAGGACCTGGGCTACTGAGTATCAGCAAAGAAAGCACAGCTTTGCTCTACCAAAGTGTCATACCTTGAACACCAGCTGCAAGAGGGCAAGAAAGTCATAATCTCAGCCCGGAAAGAAGCCATTCTCCAAATTCCCATGCCAACCAAGAAACAGGAATTCCTGGGGTGGCAGGGTATTGTTGGCTATGAATCCCAGGATTTGCTGAAATTGCCAAAACCTTGTACTTGTCCACAGCAGGGGATCAACCCTTAAATTGGACTACTGCTGAGGAACAAGCATTCCAGCAGGTTAAAAACAGCTCAAGCCCTGGCACTAGCCCTTCCGGATGTTACCAAACCTTTCCACTTGTTCATTCATGAATAACAAGGAATTGCCAAAGGGGTCCTCACTTAAACCCTAGGGCCGTGAAAAAGACCGGTGGCTTATTTGTCAGAGAAACTGGACTCGGTAGCTTCTGGCTGGCCCTCTTGTCTTCGAGCCATTGTGGCCATGGCTTTGTTGGTTAAAAAAGCAGACAAGTTAACTTTTGGCCAGAACCTGGCTTTAACTGCTCCCAATGCTGGTAAGACTCTGCTCCGGGAAGCCACTGGTAGTTGAATGTCAAATACGTGTATTACCCAGTATCAGAGCCTACTACTGGACCGAGAAGTAAACTTGACAGAACATTTTTAGTAGTAGACTTTGAAGAGGTTGAAAGATATTCTTCAGAAAGTGGAACTAACTTTCTCTCCTACTCCATGCCTCAACCTGGCAACCCTGTTGCCTGATGACCATCTGGAGACACTGGTGCATGACTGCAAGGATGTGTTAAACATTACCCAGGCCAGCCGACCTAGTCTTCGAGACATTCTTCTGTGCCAGGCTGCTGCTGACCTGTTCATGGATGATAGCAGCCTGGTACTAAACGAAGTTCCATAAGGTTGTTACAGCGGTAACTACAGCTCATGGCGTAATCTGGTCACAGGCACTGCCTCAGGGTACTTCTGCCCAAAAGGCTGAGTTAATTGCTCTAACTCAGGCCTTGTGCTGGGGAGCAGAGAAACGAGTAAACATCGTCACTGACAGCTGGTATACTTTTGCTACACTTTATGTACATGCCATAATCTACAAAAAATGTGGCCTTCTCACCGCAGCAGGTAAGACTACCAGAAATAAAGAAGAAATATTAGCCCTCTTGGAAGCTATTTGGCTGCCTAGAGAGGTAGCTGTTATTCATTGTAAAAGTCACCAAAATCTGACACTCTAGAAGCAATTGGAAACCGCCTGGCAGACCAGGCAGCTTGGGAAGCATTAGAACTCCCAATTAAACCCCTAACTATTTTACCAGCTAAAACTTTTCCAGCTCCTTCTCTCCCACAGCGGCCCAGATATACACATAGAGAAGAAGAGGCTGCAAAGTTGGCAGTAGGATACATGAAACCTAACGGCTGGTGGATTAAAAACTCCAGAATTGTTCTACTTGAAGTTCTTGCAGAAAAATTAATAAAACAACTCCACTCTACCACCCACCTAGGAGAAACCAAAATGGCTGAATTGTTAAACTGTTTTTATATTATCAACAACTTAAAAAACCAAGCTAACTCAGCAACTTTTATGTGTCCAGCTTGTACTCGCATCAATCCCAAGAGAGGGCCGAAACCCCTTCCAGGAATCAGGGTATGAGAATTAAGTCCTGGTGAACAATGGCAAGTAGACTTTACTGAAATAAAACCTCCGTATTACATAGGAATAGGAGTTGAAATGCCTATCTCAAGCAATGCAGCTAAAACAACTTATATTCCAAAAACTATTCATGTCACCATAGGAGACGTAACTGGAAATGCCTCTTGTTTAATAAATACAAGCTTCAACTGAACAGCTTCTCCATTTCCTGAAATTTGTATTCGGTCTCTTACTAAGACCATAACTCATTCTCAGACTTATACTGCACTTGCCAATACATGGTTTGCTTGTTCATTAGGATTAATTACTTGTGTTACTGCCGAAATGTTAAACAATAAACCTGTTTTATGTATTACTGTTCATGTACTTCCTCAGCTACATGTCTACAGTGGCCCCGAGGGTGCTTTCTTAATTTCACCACCTGGTACCCAAAAATGGCGTGCCACTCCTCTGTTAGTCCCCACTTTAGTTGGATTAAGTGTGGCTGGGACAGCTGCACTTAGCACTGCTGCTTTAGTCCACAGAGAAATAGGACTAACGGGACTAACCAGCTTAACCCAAAACATAAATGATGACCTAGAATATGTACAGTCATCAATAGAACAACTCCACGACCAGGTAAATTCTTTAACTGAGGGCATCCTCCAAAATCGGAGAGGTCTTGATTTATTGTTCATGTCTCAGGGAGGGCTTTGTGCTGCTCTCAGAGAAACTTGTTGTTTCTATGCCAATACATCAGGAATCATCAAAGAAGTTCTCCAAAAGGTCCAGGAAAACAAACAAGAGACGAAAAAAGCTAAATGACAGTAAGTTCTGGTTCCAATCTTTGTTCGAT